CCTGGCTCAGTGGGGAGCCTGCTTCTCCCTCTGACCCTCTCCCCTCTCATGCTGTTTCTCTCTCTCTCTCTCTCTCAAATAAATAAATAAAATCTTAAAGAAAAAAAAGAATTCATTGCCTTTTGATGTGTGAAAATGGTTTTGGATTCAAACTTCAAGTTTTTACTATCAGTTCAGCATTGAAGTTTTACCATCAAATGCTTTTCTTTCATTGGATAAAGAGTCTAGTTATTCTAATATTGAGCAATTTCATAGAGAATGTTTGATAAAAGAAATGATATAATGAACAGAGATGGAAATCAGAGGGTTCAGAGAGGGAGTAGCTACCAGAATAAAGTCAAAGACAATAAGTAAATGATCATCTCTGCTTACAAGATAACCTGGAGGTGACTTCCAAGCCTGTGACCCTTAACCCCAGGGTTCCAGGTGAAAGTTCTTTCTTGATATAGATCCCTTCTGGGAAGGAACTTTTAACAATTTATTGATCCACCCTTTTCAGGTCCTTGAAAAGATGTACTCTGCCCTGGTTTGTATCAGATTTAGATCTACTTTGGAAAGCGAAGCAATTAAAGTGCCAAAACCTTTCATTAAGAGTCTGCCATTTTAAAAAAATGAGCTTTGATCTGTTAACCCTTGGAGTGAACATTCCAGTCATTCATCTTCCAGAATTTTAAGTCCAGGATTTGGTTGTGGTTTGAATTTATTTTTTTGAGACACAGCTTGAATGCCTCCATTTGATTTTGTGCTTTCAACACATTTTTGGGATCTAGTGATTTGGGAAGGCCTGTACCATATGGTCTTGATAAGGTGATAGATTTTCACATTCTGGGAATTGGCAGGAAAGGGTAGGTACTGAATCAGATGTGGGAAGAGAAAATTAAGAGTTTGGGTCTAATTCATCTCATGATATATCTTCTGAGACCTAAAATTCCCATAAAATCAATTTTTAGGAAAAAATTATGTGTGTGTGTTGTCCCCACCTCATGGGGGTCTCTTAAGTAGAGAGCTTCCTTTTACAAGAATGGCACTTAACATTTCGTGGTTAGCCCTTCAAAAAATACCCCAGACTTGGGGTCAAAAAACAAAACAAAACAAAGGCCCTGCTCCACCTTTCTTGAAAAAGAGGTTGTAAAAAGGAATAGGCCAAGGGGCCGGGTGCCACGGAATAAAGGGTAGCAAGACACATTTTGATCTGGGAGTTGATGGTTTTCAGAGAAGGACTCAAGGCAATGGTAGAACAAAACAAAGCCCAATATATACTCCAGGAGGGGAAAAACTCCCTGGTGGCAGTCTTGCAAAAAAACCAAAACAACAACAAAAAACAAATTCAAGAAAGAAGAAAAGGATGCCTTGTGTGATTCCTAGCTGTGGGATAGAGGGGGCTGAAGTGAAGGCTTTTCCTTGATGGTACAGAGAATTCAGAATCGGGAGGCCTGACATTTAATCCGGTTGTTCTGTTCACCGCCGGCTTGGTGGGGACAGTGCCGGGAGAATCACCTACTGGGTTTTCTTTTCTCCACCTCGTCCGGGGCTTTGGTTACCGGTTCTTCGCGCAGGTTCCTAGCCGGGCCGGGGCGCGTGCCCATTTCCCGTACCTCCCTCCACGCGCGGCTGATTGTTGGCAGCTCGGGGCGGGGCGGGGCGGCGGGGGTGCCAGGCGCGGACCGCCGGAGGGGGGCACTCACGTAGCCGGCGGCGGCGGCGGTGGGCGGCGGGGGTGCCTGGGCGATGGCACGCAGCTCTTCCTCGGTGAGGCGCTCGGCCTCATCGAGCGTGGCGCCCGAGTAGAGCACCGCGTCCTTGACGAAGATGCTCACGGCGCGAAGCATGAAGGACAGGAATAGGTGCATGTGGATGTAGTTGCGCGTGCAGTGCAGCCGCCTGCGGGGCGCGCGACAACACCGTGGGTGGGGGCCCGGGGACACGCGGGTTGGGGGGGGTTGGCCAGGAAGCCAGGATGTGCGCGGGGGGGGGGGGGGGGGGGGAGGGACGCCCGGCCCCCGCGGAGGGGGCCACGGGACCCCAACCTCGGCCCCGCCCCCCGGCCCGGCCCCGCCCCTCGCCCCGCCCACCTGAAGTAGGCCAGGATGATCACGGCCACGGTGAGGGAGGCCAGCGACACCGAGTAGCCCACGGTGTAGATCATGCCCAGGCGGTCAAACACCTCCTGTGCCGGAGGGGACACAGCGTCAGAGCCCTGGCACTCAGGTTAAGGGTCAGAGACCAGTTAAGTTTGCGGGAGGCGTCAGGCCTCGCTCAGGGGTGACCTTATCCAGATCAGGTTGGGGAGGGGGAAAAGCTCGCACCCGTTCACGCGTCTCATTGGTCAGGAACTTGACACACTCGCTGTAGTTGGCCCATGTCCGGTTGTGCCCAGGTACCAGTTCCCAGCTGCCGTTGCGGTCACAGCGTCGGTAGGCGTGGCCTGCAGGGCCACGGGGAGGGTCAGGGCAGGCAGAGAGGTCTGGAGCCCTGAGCTCCCCGTCCTGCCACCCCTGTGGTCCCCACCCTACTCCAGCCTGCCTTACCTTTATGATTGAAGTCATAAATGTAGTCGGGACAGGGCACAGCCACCACCTCACCTGGTGCCCCCAGCGGCCAGCAGAGGATGTGGTCCCACTCGGGCAGGCAGGGGCGCCCTGTGCCCACAGAGACAGACAGACAAGGTGGGGGACACCAGTCAAGTCCATGGTTAGTGACCCAGAAGAATGAACACACCTGTGGTCGCTGGCTCCCTCAGGGACAGGTGTGCCCCAGGACTGGAGAACTCAGGCCTGGAGCGGTCTGGAGAGAATGTATTGAGCCTTACTACCTACTGTGTCCTGCATAGCATTGAATCCCTGGCCTCACAGAATTCCCACAGCCCCTGTCTGTGGGTATTGGCACTGGCACTATTTTCTAGATCGGCTGGTGGAGGCCAAGAGAGGCAAGTGATTTGCCGAGGTCATACAGCCTAGGCCCATGCCCTCCTCAGGTACTCAGCCCCTGGCCAGGCCTCTCTCTCTTTCCTCTGCTCTTGGTCCCACCTCCAGGTGTCCCTGGGGAAGGGCAAGTGCCCAGACTAACTAACTCCCTTAGCTGAGAATGCTTTCCATGTGACTCTTGCCCAGGATCCATGGGTAGGAGGCAGGAGGTCTAGCTTCCAGTCCCCGCTGGACTCCCAAAGAGCTGCTGACCTCATGCAGGTGTCCACCCTCTTTGTGTTCCAGTTTCTTCACGGGGTAGCTGGGATTGACCAGATCAGCTTGTGCTTTAACCACCATCCTAGACCACCCTAAGCACCTGCTATGAGACTCCAATGATCACTCATAGGAAGAGGTATAATCCCCCAAAGCTAAGTGCTAATTGTGGGATTTAAGACAGGGTGACATATCCTACTTTGGGGCTCCAGTCTCACAGCAGAGATACTAAGTGACCTTGGAAGGTCCCCAGCCTCTGAATCTTCTGCTTTCCAACCCCCCCCCCAGCTCCCTTCTTCCCCCCTGCAGGACTCCAACCACAGGACTCTCCAGCCATCCTGGAAGGCTGCCTTGATAGCTGGACCCACCCCAGCTTGGTGAAAGGCTCTCTGTCCTGGGCACCATATTCCCAGCCCCGTCTGGCTAGGCCCACAATTCCCTCTGGTCCCTGGGGAGCCACAGGGTGACCACAGCCTCCCAGATGTGGCCCATCTGGAATCTGCTGCCCACCCAGCCGGTTCAAACCGGCCCTGTGGCTGCAGTCTGGGCTGTGCGTTTGTCTCTCCTTACCTTCCTGAGGGACAACACAGCCCTGCATCTCCCTCCCTCCCTCTCTTCTCTCCTCCCCTCCTCGTCCCACTGTCTCAGCCCTGCTGTTCCATGGCCATCCTCCTCCCCTGCTCTGTGTCTATGGCCCACCACACTAACGTGTTTGGGTGCACCCTCCTCTGACACACTGAGTCCCATTCCTAGTTTATGCCTCCTGGTCCCCTCTCTGTCTCTCGCTCTCTTTGTATCTCTCCCTGCCCCTCTGTCTCCCAGGTTCTCTGTCATCTCTCTCCATGGTAGGGGCCACAGCCCCAGGTCCACCCCTGGGGTAGTGCGGGGCAAGTTCTCTGCCCAAATCTCCTGGGGCTCTGGCCCCATCCAGCTGCCAGCCTCTTGCACATGATACCTCCTGGGCTCTGTGTCCTCCCAGCCCCTCCTCTGCTTTCCTGGGGAGGGGGTCACAGCCTCTTCCTTTCCAGAAGAGCTGAAGAGCATGAGCTCACAGAAAGGGGATAGAGCGGTGGGGTGGGTGGGTCCCTACCCGTCTCGGATGGATGCCCAGAAGCAGAGACATACCTCGGTGCCTGCTGCCAGTGGGCGCCTCGTTGTCCTCCTCAGACTCCGGGTAGAGCTCCTTCTCTTTCTTAGGCTTCCCTGATGTGGATGCAGATGCCCATGCTTTGTCTGATTCCATTATGTCAGCTGGAGAAATCAGGGCAGTTATGGCTGTCAACTGTGCTATGGCAGGAGACCCAGGGCACCCTCCTGCCTCCAAGGCACCCTCTTTGTACGGTGGGGGTTGATCCCTGCCCTGCTGACAGCCCAGGCTGTTGGGAGAGCTGAGATAACAGGCCGGAGCAGAAGTAAGTGGAGAGCACGGAGACTGTCAACAGGAGGTTCAAATGGGAGCGAACACCATGCAGCGGTGGGATCAACTAGTGGGCTGAGCGGTAAGTGCGGGCAAAACATGGGCAGAGGCAATGTCCTCCGACCCAGGAGTTTGGAGTCAGAGCCCGTGCAGGAGGACAGGGCCCCGCCAGGGGGCGCAGGACAAAAGTGGACAAGTAGGGGTGATGTCAGCAAAGGCTCAATGGTGAAAATGAAGCCGGGCCAGGGCACGGTGCAGCTCAGGAAGCTGGTGGTGTGGACGACATGAGCAAGGGTGTGCAGGTGTCAAGGGTGTTCAGGCAAGTCTACCTACCCGTCCCCTGCCCTCAGATACTTGAGTTAGGAGTTCCCAGAGTCCACAGAAGGACCCTGGAGGCTCTCTGAGTTGGGCTGGCCTTTTCGCCATTAGAGAGCTGTTTGAGGTCTCTCTACCTCGCTGAAATGTCTCCCTCATTATATGACTCATGTCCTTCAGTTACAGCCCGAGCAGGGCCCCCAGCCCTCCCAGGTCAGGGTTTGTGACAGCAATGCAAAGCTGAGTGCAGACACCTCGGCTGGGCTGGAACGGCTGTGCCTCTTATCCTGCCTGATACCGGGGCGTTAGTAGGGAGGGGGGCAGCAGGACGGATGGAGCAGGAAGAGAGGGGCTCCATCAGAATGGGGCATGATGGGGGGCAGAAGGTGCCTCCGGGCTTCCACAACTGGGAAGAGCGCTGGGTTCAAGACCCAGAGTGCGGGGGCCCACCTGACCCCCAGACCCTGAGGTGACTGGGGCGGGGAACCAAAGAGCCACCAGCGGGGCCATCGTGGACAGGGCTGGGGCTGCAGAGACCCTGTGAATGCCTGTGACTATGAGCAAAGTCCATGTGCTACAGAGTGTGTCACTGTGTGCCCTTGGGTCCCCAGCAGTCTAGGGGAGCCGGCTCCAGACAGGAAGCTGTTCTCCTCGGCCAGTCAGGCGGGGGCTGGGCCTCTTCCTGGTGATGAGATTTAATCAGACAGGCGGCAGAGGCCTGGATGGGTGCTAATGAGCTCCCATCTCTGCTTCCAGAAAGTGGACTCAGGAAAGCGACCAGCTGGAGATGGGGCAGGAGCTGGAAAGGCAGGGGCTCCTCCCACCTTGACCTTGGCAGGGGTCCCTGAAGATGCTGTGCTGGTGTGCAGAGGCCCTCCCGACCCCAGGTCAAACACCCTCCCTCGGACAGTGACCATGACTCAGAGTCATAGATACTCATCCCTACCCCTCTAGCCTTCTCCCCGTCCAGTCCCATGGACCCTTGATTCTACTGACCCTGGACACCTCAGCCTTGTCCTTGGACCAGGTGGCCTTCTTCAAAGATCTACTTATTCTTCTGGACCTGCCTTGGATACCTCCTCCTCCAGGAAGCTGTCCCAGTGCACCCCAGGCGGGTGTGGCACCCTACTCAGGGCTCCTGATCCTGTTGTGCCTTGCCAGATCTAAGCCCGCTGGGGATGATTCGGACTGTGGCTGCCTTCTTACTGCCTGATCCCACCCTGGGAGGGAAGGCTCTGCATTTCAGCCTGCTGACTTTGATCACACCTCGTCCCCCTTTTAACCGGACGCCCCCTCTCCTGGTGCCACTTGGCTCTGCATCCTAGGTTCGCACCTTCACTGGGCCCCTCCCTCCCTCTCTTGACCTCGCCCCCAGGCCCTCCTCCTTGGGCCCCGCCCCACCCGGCTCCGCCCCCACCTGGCCTCTGCAGGACTTCTTTGAGCCGCTTCTGGCATTGGGCCTGGGCGCGGTGCAGCAGGAAGATCTGCTCCTCTTTGGTCATGACGTCATCTGCATCCACCTACCAAGTTGAACGTCAGACTGCAGGCCGGCCTTTCCAGCGCACTGACAGGTCCCACAACCATCCCAACCTCCCTGACGGATTTCCCCACTTTCCAAAGGCTCTGAGTCTAGAATTTGGGAACTCTGCCTTATGTAGCTCCCATTTTACAGATGGGAAGCTGCGGCTCCAAAGGGTAGAGCCAGAAGGATAAAAGAGGGAGGGGGGGATGTCCCCTGCCCGTCCGCTAGTAACCCTGTAGGCTGCAGCCACTGATATTCTCTGTCCAGTCTGTTCCCCAAGGGTACATGGGAAAGGGATGGAATGTCCCAGGATGGATCCTCACAGGATCCTGTCTGCTGGGGACCTGGTGGGGAGAGCGGGTGCATAAGGAGCGGTGAACTCTGGGGAAATAAACCAGGCCTGGATTCTTTCAAGCCCTAGTGCCCTGGGGGACCTTGGGAGTCACCAGTTTCCATCCTGGCCCTCTCCCCAGTCACTGCTTTCCCCAGTGAATGGGGAGTGCCTCAGCCGCTCCCAGCCTTGCAGCCCCAAGAGCTAGAGGTCGGAGGAATCACTGGCAAGTGGTCTGGTTGGGTGGGCACTCCTGAGCTGGCTGTGAGCCGGAGTCACCCCATCCCACTGCTTATCTAGAAGCTCCTTCCCCCGCGAGGCAGAGGCAGACCCTGTGTTCTGACGGTGCCAACAACAGGCCTTTGCTCCTGCTGTTCCCTCTAGAATGTGCTTCCTTCTCTTCCTTCCAGCCTGCACACCCCGGGCCCACTGGGATACACGGGCGTCATTTTGAGGAAGAGAACAAGAACATCATGGGCATCGCGAGGTGGGGGGGGCGGGGTCTCACCCTGAACCTATGTTCCCCTGACTTAGAGTTCGAAGCGGATCAGAGTAAAGGCAGCATCCTGCCCTGGGGACAGATCAGTGTGACCAAGCCTAGCCACTTCCATGAGTGGGACCCACAGAGGTTAATGCATCCCTCACATCCCCCTTTTAAGTCGGGCCGAGTCCCCTCAGACACCCGGGCCTGGGACATGTCTGTCCCCTTAGACCCCTCAGCCCCAGAGCAGGGCTGTGTCCCCTCAGATTCCACAGGGCAGAGCCTGGCCCCCTCACACCCTCAACAGGCAGAGCTGCCGCCCCTCAGGCATCGCAGGGCCGGTCCCCGGTGTGTGAGCGGAACCGTGCGGGGCGGATGGAGAGCCCGGGGGCAGACAGGGAAGGAAGGTGGAGGGCTGGGGAAGGGGCGGGCTGGCCGGGCGGGGCGGGTCAGGGAGGCCGGCGGCGGGGGTGAAGTTAATTGACCGCGTCTGTCAGTGGCAGCAGCGGGGGCTTCCAGGGCCAGGGAGTCTCCAATCGGCTCGGCGGGGCTCGGGATCCGCTGGTTTCACTTAGCGGAGGCGCGTGCGCGTGTGTGCGCGTGCGCGTGCACGGCGGCGCGTCCGGCCGGCTGGTGCGCTCGGGCGGGCCCCCAGTCTCTGTGCGTTCTCACGTGGGGACCGTGCGGCGTGCACCTCTGGGACGTGAGCTTCAGGTGTCTGGGAACATGCGTGTGTACGTGGCTTTCTGGGCAAGGGTCTGCGTGCGTGCGCGCGTCTGCCAGTGTGTCATGCGGCTATTCCTTAGCAGGCGTGTCTGTCGGGTGTCTGTGCTTCTGCGTGTCCCTGGAGTCTGAGTTGGGCCCTGAAATCTCGGCCGGATCAGTGCCCATAGACCCCCCCCCCGCCCCCCCAGGAAGGGCTGGAGCAGATTCCCATGTGCTGGCTCCTCTCTCGGGGCTCTGCGCCCTCCTCCCCCAGCTACAGCGGACTGGGGCAGAAGTGGCCTCGCAGGATGGGGCTTGAGGGAGGACAGCTGGACCTGCCCTAATCCAAGGGGCTCCAAGATTAACCCGAAGCTCTCTTTGTGCCTCTGGCATTGCGGATCCAGGCTGCTGAGGAGTCTGGTCCCTACATAGCTGCCCTGCTCCCTCGGACCCATTATCACGCCCCTTCACTACCATTTCCATCATTACAAGAGTACCTCCATCAGTAACCACCACCCACCATCACCACCACCAACCGTCATCACCTTGACCAACACCAAACACAACCATTACCATCCCCCATCACCACCACCTGCACCAGCACCATTACTAACACCATGAGCACTAACTACTATCACCAGGAGTCTAACCACCATCACCACCATCAGCACCATCCCAACTGGCAGAACATCATTACCATCACCACCGCCAGTGCTATTCCCACCATGACTCACACCACTACCGCCAGTATTACCACCACCTGCATCACCACTATCACCATCACCACCGAAGGCAACATTAACCCCATCACTGCCATCACCATTATCGCCGCCAGCCCTATACCCAGTCGGTACCGCCTCTGCTGTCGTCTTATCCCGACTCCCTCACCATGGCCCTGTCCCCACCCCTTCTTCTGCCCACCTCCATCTCTCTCAAGACAAGCAGATACTGCACCGTACTTTTTCCAGCTGATGGAAAGCTCCTGAGTGACTGAGGCTTCTACCAGTCCCCAAAGAGTGGCATACCAGCCCTCCCCATATACAGACTAGCCCACCGATGTGACTGAAGGCAGGCAGTCACGGGTTGAAAACGGCCCATTTGGCAGACTGACAGATGGACAGGTACGCTAGCTGGGTGATGACCAGGAACTAACACACGCTCTCTCGCAGGACTGAGGCATCGGCTCAGCCTCCACCTACTGCTGTTGGCTTTACCCTCTCTGTGGCCAAGAGGGGGCACCCCCTCTTCTCTGGAGGCTGGTTTCCATGGTGGGGCTGGGAGTGCCCAGGAGAAGGGAAGGGATATGCCTCCAGCACCCCAGGGCCCCCAAACTCTTCCATTCATCCACAGGGATGGTGGCCCCACCTCTGGCCTCCCTGAACTTGTAGGACCCATTCCTCTGTCCCCCAGTGATGGCACACTGCAGCAAGAGGAATCCAAGCCTGAGTCCAGGAAGCACTTACCCAAGGAAAGGAGGGCAGTTCCGCACCAAGTTCATTGCCACTTGCCTTCGAGGGCACCTCCCTTGCCTGCAATGGTCCCTGTTCTCCCCTCCCCGCTGCACCCTCTCCTCATCCAAGCACATTCTGCTGGCCAGCACTGGAGCTTGAATCGCACCTCCACCAGTGACTGGCTCTCTGTCTAGGAAAGTTGCTTAACCCTTGCGATCAGGATGACCGTAGGGCTGTTGGCGAGGATTCAGTGAGAGCCGGGACATGGGTGGGGGTGGGGCCGAGCTGGTGGCTCGAATTGCTCCCGTTAGCAGCAGCACATCATGGCCCTCCTACTCTGGCTCTGGGCACCCCTGCTTCTGCACACTGAGGGTGGCCCCAGGCTGCGGACCCAGAGTGGCAGGGGGAGATTGGGTAGATGACTAAGTCCAGGGGGGACACAGTGAGGGGAGGAGGGGAGGAGGTGGGACTCCAGGAGGGTCGGCAGCAGGGAGTACAGGAGGGCCTACGGGGTGAAGTGTGCCTGATGAGCTTTTGGGGTGAGCCAACCTGGGCTCACGGAGAGAGTCCGGGTCACTGCCAGGCCCCCTGGGCTTGGGGGGGCGGCAAGAGGGCCCTCCATCAGCCTCTGCCCTGACAGGCGGCCTTATGTCCTGGGGGTGAAGGGGAATGTGCCGGCAGCTGTGCTTCCCCTCCTGGCCTGGTGACTGTCTGCTGGTCCCTCTCCCCACCATGCCCCTCTTCCCCCTTCCTTGGCAGAGTTCAGGTCTTTCTGGCCCAGCTCCTGGTGTGAAGGACTCAGGCTTGCATTAGTTTACATCCAGAGAACCTGCAGACCTTGGGTTTCAGGGTCAAGGGCTGAGGGACCCAGGGCTGGATCATGGCCCGGGGTCACCCACCACCAATGGGGCCACCCAGCCCTGGCACCAGGCGTCCCGAATCCCCACCTACATCCCTCCTATGGTCTTGGGTTAGGGCTCGGCTTCAGTGTCCCTCACTGTAGCACACTCCCCATGCTGAACCGCCCACCCCACCCCCCGGAGCCTTCCCGTGTGCACACGCACGCATGATGTACAGTTTGCGAACGTACAGGGAGTGGGGTGATGCCCTGACCTCAGCCCCGAGCTGGGGGCGGGGAATAGGGACAGGGGCAGCCTGGGAGCAATGAGCTGGTGTCTTGGGGGCTCCAGGCAGGGTGCCGGTGAAGGCTGGGAGCCAGTCTGTTATTTACAAACATAGACGCTGCTGTCCCAGGGAGAGAGTAGTGTGTGGTCAAGAGGCCCGATGTGTTTCTCATTTCCTGAGTTCAGAAGCTCAGACGAAGAGAAAAGCCATCTGCTCACTACCCCGCCCCTGGGGGGCAAGCCGCTCCTTCGACCTCAGCTCGCGGGGAAGCCCGACGGAGGATGGTGTCGGAGTTGGGGGTGGGAGCAGTGGTGGCAGTGGGGGTGGAGGTGAGGGCAGTGAGGGGGCGGCATCGAGGCTGGAGATGGTGATGGAGGTGTGACGGTGACAGTGGTGGTGCAGAGAGCCAGTTCCACGCCACTGACCAAAGGAGGGCCACTCCTCTCCGTTTCACTCCTAACTGCCAAATTCCACACATTTGCTGTCTGTGATCCCAGACATGCCTACATTCTCCTCCAGGCAAAACTAAGAAGGAAATACAAGGGTTGCTTCTTCAGTGGCCGACACCTCTGCCTTTGGGAAAGGGGCTTCTTCCATTGGATGCTGTTAGCCTCGAGATGCCCTCTTGGGTCCTCTCATCCATCCCTCTGCCCGGGTTCCACCTGGCCCCCTGGGGGAAGGCGGCTGTAGGCTTCCCGCTCACCTCTAGAGAAAGCAGACCTGCCTGGGGTCCATCCAGCCCCTCTGCCTGTTAGCACCAGCCACTGACCCTGGCGCTTTATCCCCATCTCCTTGACCTTCCGCCACATCCCCATCTTACAAACGGGGACACTGAGGCTCAGAGTCACAGGTAAAAAGCAGCAGCAGCCCTGGAGGAAGGACGCAGCCCCGTGGGCCCCCTGGTGCGAGTCTCAGTCCCAGTGGTCCAGAGTTCTTCTGAACCGTATCTGTATCTTCCGCGGCATCAAGCAGGCGCCTCCCAGCAGAGCCTCCGAGGCAGCCTGCACAAAGGGAATTCAGGGGTGGGGGCGGACAGAGAGGGGATCACGTGGCGATGGTGCAGGTGATGGCATCTGGTGCCCAGCTCTAACAGGACAGAGGACAGTGGTGCCCTGGGGTTAGCAGCGAGGGGAGTTGTATCTCCAGAAAAGGCAGAAGGAGAAAACCTTGGCTCACAGGGGACCCCCTTGTGACCTCCTGGCCTTCCTGCATCTCTTTTCCAGGTTCTTGATGTTTCCCGTGCCAGCTGGCTAGGGACTGCTCCCCGCCCCTTGCTGCCCTCCGTCTGTCCGGCTGGCCCGAGCAGGCTGGGACGGGCTCCCTGCCGGGGACACTCCTGCCCCGCCACCGCTGACAAGTGCTGACTTTTCCTCCCCCTCTCCAGGCCTTCCTGAACAGGCTGCCTGTGTTCAGGGCTGGGAGGGCCTGGGGTGGGGGGGGAGGCACCGTGACGCCTCTCATCCTGGCCAGCCTTCAGGGCAGGCAGTGGGATGGAGCCTGGGATGGCGGAGTTGGCTGCTGGACCCAGTGGATCTTCACAGGCGGCCTCTACCTGGCCTGCAGGACTAAGGCCCGGAAGGATAGTATGGCCTAACCTAACCGTATGCCTGGTCGGCAGAATAGGATCCTACCAGGTCTCACCGCCTCACAAGGCTGGTCCCAGAGTTGGGGTTCTTTAGGGTTTGGAGGTTTCTGATGTCTTTGCGAATCTGAGCGAAACTCTGCACTCTCTCCCAGTCACACTGCATTTTGCAGACAACTTCTGGGGTCTGCAAAACCCTCACCCCACCCTTTCTTTTTCCTAGGGACTCTCTCTCTGAAAGAGCTGCCTTCCTGGTGTGGTGGCTGGACCAGGGAGTGTCCCCAGAAGGCCCACAACAGGAATCTGGGGGAGGCCGCTTGACGCCTCATTAAAACATTCCGAAGAAAACCCAAGTTCCCGGGAGGGCTCGGCCCCCCTCCTCCTGCTCTGTCCACAGGCCGTTCCCAGAGCTGGGGTGTGTGTGCGGTGTTTAAGGGCAGGTGATATAAAAAGCTTCAACAAATCAATACAAAAAAAGACAACCCATAGAAAGATGAGTAATGGCTCTGTGCAAAGGTCTTAGAAGAGGGACAACAGACCGATGTAAAGTCCAAAAGCTTACTGGTAATTGGCAAATTAAAATGGCAAGAGACAATTTTTCACCTCTCAGAATGGCAAAGGCGAAAATCCTCATACTACCCTATGAGACAGAGGGTGTGGGGCACTGTCTGGAATCACACGCACACACACAAAAAGGATGCAGAAAAGATCTAAAGGTACATTTCTAGGGACTGCTTAATGCATCCCAGATTTTGGAATACTATGCACCATTAAAGAAAATAGATCTATATGTACTGACAAGAAGATTTCCAAGACACACCTTTACGTAAAAAAAAAAATGTACATGGCAGAGCCTTACCTACAAACAGATACCATTCATTTTACAACACGCAGAACACAACAGAACAAAACTGTCTGCTTTACGGACACAAAAAGATATCTTTTGTTGGAAATAAACGGAAAAAGGTCTGGGAGGATATCCCCCACCCAGACTGTTAAAAATGGTTTTCTCTAGAGGAACACTGGGACTTGGGAGTCATCAAGGATGAATTCTGTTTAATCTGTATTATAGGACTCTTTTATAAGAAAGAACATATTCAAGTATTAGTTCAATTAAACAAAAGAAAATAAAAGTAAAATAACAGAAGGATTTTATGAAAGAAAGAAACAAAGAAAGAAAGAAACAAAGGAACAAAGAAAGAAAAAAAGAAAAGGAAGAAAAATTTAAAAACCCACAGTGGGACATGGGGATCTCTGGTCAGCACGATCCGTCACCTTGCTTTGGAGGAAGAAGCTCAGTGCGAGAGTCTGAAGACCTGGGTTCAAGTCCCGCCTCTACCACAGACTCACTGCCTGAACCCCAGGGCCCTTTCCCATAAAATGGGGGCGGTGGAAGGACAGACTGAGAAAACATTTGTGATGGTTTCTAGCTCAGAATTGGAGGATAGTCATTGTTCAATACATGGTGGTTCTCTGGTCTTTAAAAGAGGGCCCGTGGCCACGCTGGTCCTGGAGCAGGGGAGGGGTTGCCTATACTCCTAGCCCCCACAGTCCCTTCTGTGTCAGACCCCGAGGTCACATCTTTATGCTCAAGGCCTGCCCCCCATGTTGACCTGCTACCTCTCCCACCGCGGCTTCTCCTTCACATGTGTGCATGCTGAGGGCGTCCTTAGGATGAGGCACCCCCGAGGATAAGACCACCCCTTTGCCCCCTACTCACGATCTGTGGGCCCATCCCTTCCTCCAAAATTCACTCCACCTGACCCCTAGCTCACAGCTAGTATTCCCTGTAAGGACAAGATGGACCAGCTAGCTGAGTCTGGCCACAGCCGGTGTCCTCCCAGTGGAATGCGTTTTGGTCCCCGAACCCTGAGGTCCCTGGAGGTGTGAGCCTGCTCCTGGGGCTGGCTGGGCAGGCAGCCCACAGGTTTGGTTACAGTGGCTATCGGCTGAGTTTGGTAGGTTTGGTGGGTGTCAGCACAGATCTGGGTGGGAACGGCAGCCCCTGGGTTCAAAAGAGGAAGCTGGCCGGCTGTCAGTCTCTCGCTGGCTCCAGCTGAGCCCAGGGGGCCTACAGGGTACTGGGTGATCCTTGGGCCACATCCTCTAGCCCTAAACCCAGTGCGCACACGGCTTGAGCGTCCAGCCACTGATGTCCCAACAAGGTCTCAGGGCAGACCCAGCCATGGCATCCTTCCTCCTGCCCTGCCCTCAGACCTGAACCAGGGCTAAGCCAGGCAAATTCTCTGCACGTGCCTCAGCTTCCCCAGAAATCAGTGTGGGGCCCTGGGGACCCATTACCCCCTCCCCCTGGAGACACAGGGCTTGGCACTAGATTGGCATGCAATAAAAAATGGTCATATTGATTGTGTGCTTCAGATTACTTTAAAAATGGGAACAATAACAAAACCTTTTTAGAGAGTTGTTGGAAAAATTAAAGTAGTTAATACTCTAAAGTGCTTAGGACAGTGTCTGGCAAGTAGAAAGCGCTAAAAAAGCATTTATTAAATAAAAATAAGAGACAATAGACCTGGGTGCACATGTGCTCACAAATACACTCACACACACACATATATGCACGACTATGCCCCTGCAAGTCATGCGCAGACCCACCGCTTCGGACACATGTGTTCACAGGTGACACGCGCTCACATGGACCTAGAGAACAGTCTGCCCAGAGGCCCAGCAAGCCCTGCTCTGGCACAGAGATGGCTCTCAGCACACTCACGCCCATCGTCCTGTCTACCCCAGGGCTGTGCACACAGACTGCGGGCTGGCTCTGCTGCGCACACCCTGGAGGGGACCCTGGGGGAGGGGAGCCTGGCCCAAGGGGAGGGTGGGGAAATGGCTCTGGGTCCTTGCAGTTACCTCGGCACAAGTCTCTGAGCCTTGACTTCCCCATCTACAAGTCCTCATATGGGGTGAGGTCTCTGGCTTTGGGGAGCCAGAGTCGTGAGTGCCTGGGCACCAGGGAATGGGACATGCTGAGGCCCCGGAGGAGAAGAGAGCCTCACTCAGATCAGGAGATTCTTAGGCAAAGGTTTCTCGCTGTTTGTTTGTTTGTTGTTGTTGTTGTTGTTTTTTACAGATAGGGAAACTGAGGTATGGAGGATCGCCCCAGGTCAGACGGGCCTGAGGCAGAGCTGGAGGCATCCCAGAGCTGCTGCCTTCCCCCGTCAGGTTCTGCCTGGGTAGGGAGCTGGTCAGGAGAAAGTGGCTGCCGGCCTGCCTGCTTGTTTCTCTAGAAGGCAGATGCCCCCACCTGGGAGGTACTGGCGAGGCAGCAGGGGCCTTGAAGTCAGACACACAGGCGGACAGCCTCCTCAGCAATGGGCTAGTCCCCCGGGACAGGGCTGCTGTGAGATCTGACTGACTCCCCAGGTCCTGGCCCCCAGCCTCTGGCCCGGGAGGAGGACAACGCTCCCCTCCGTGTCTCCAGCTCTTGGCCTCTGCCAGTCCCCTACTTTTCTCTGCTCTTCCTGGTCTGTCTACTCCTGCTCTGGGGAGTTCTCATCTACACCCCCTTTGTCTCCCTTCTCTCTCTCTCTCTGGCCTTATCTCCCAACCTGCCTCTTCTTCTCCTCTGGTCCCCTCTTGGCTTCTGCTCTCAGGAGGGTACACATGGGGGTCCCTCACTCACCAGAGTCCCCCTCCAGCATGTTTCTCCTGGAGGAGTGTTCTGTGAGGTCGGTCTCCTTCAGGGGACCTCCATCCTTCCTCCGAGCCACACCACACCCGCCTTTCTGGGCAAGATTGTCCGCGTGTGTACACGCGTGTGATTGTGAGAGCTGGAGGGGACCCTTAAATCCTACCCCCTGCCTGGGTGATGCTGACCTCAGACCCACAACCGTGTCCTGGCTTGCAAAGAAAACTTGCAGAAAACAGAGGCCCAGGAACAAAGTCTGTGGGACCCTACATCAGGGCCAAAGCCCAGTCTACTGCTAGACCACACTGTCATCCCTGAAGGAGACACAACCAGAGCTGTGGTGCTCACAGTAGCAGAAGACAGAGGAACCCCAACCACAGATTTCCAGACCTGGGACCCCAAACCCAGGCTTCAGAAATAAGGGGACCATAGGCATCTGGAACCGAGTCCAGACACCCCAGAGACAGCAGGCACCCAGGATCTCGGGTCGGAGGGGACGCTCATCCAAAGTTCGGATTATTCAGGGAACCCAAGCCTCTGCGCCCTGGGCCCACCCCAGAGACTGCAGAGCAAGCCCGCAGCCTGTCCTGGAGTGCGGGCGAGGGACTTACCAGCGCGTATGCGGAGCTGAGCACCGGGCAGCAGAGCAGGAGCGCCAGGCCGGGCGCGATCCGGACGGCCCCCATCGCCACCGCCTAGGGCCCCGTCCCTCGGGGCAGCCGCCGCCGCCGGCCCTGGTGGTGGTGGTGGTGGGGTACAGAGCTGCGTCAGGCCGGGCTGCCCCGCCCACGCCCGGGCCTAGGGGACCCCGGAGGCCAGGCGGCCCGAGGCCCCGGGGCCCGGCGCGGGGCCCATGCGCCGAGGACTAGCGAGCGAGGGAGCGCAAAGGAGAAAGAGAGGGAGGGAGGAAGGGAGGCAGCCGGGGGCCGGGCGGGCGGCGGGCGGGCGCCGAGCGCTGCGGAGCTGCCCGTCTGCCTCGGAGCGGAGAAATCACATCCATATGGCCGGGCCCCCCGCCCCCGGCCCCCCCCCCGCCCCCCCCCCCGCGCCGCCTTTTCTTTCTTTCTTTTTTTTTTTTTCTTTTGGGGAACTGGGAGCTGTGGCTTCGCCCCACGCCCAGTGGGGGAGGGGTCGGGGGAGGGGTTGGGGTCGCGGTCTGCGGGGGGCGAACCGGGCTGTTATTTTTAGCTCCGCGGCTAGCGCAAGGAGGGGGGGCGGGGCGGGGGGCGCGTTTTGAGTCGCTCGGGGCGTGCAGCTTAGGGACGCGATCCCAACTTTGCAACGACACTGAGCCCTTCGGTGCTCCGGCCGCCAGCTCTCTGCCCCTAAGCCCCCTCGGATCCCCATCCTGCCCGCGGCCGCCTCCCGAACCCTCTCCCCATCCTGGGCCGGAGCCCCGCCTGCGCCCGCGCCGCTGAAGCACGCCTGCTGCCGGGACGCTCTGCCCGTCGGCCTGTCTGTCAGTCCGTCTCTAGCTCCCCCAGCCTTGGCCTCCGTTCTTCCAGCAGCCCCGAGCTCCGTTTCGGTCACTCCCTCGCTCCCTCCCTCCCCTCCCCCTTCTCTCTCTCTACGAAAACATTTGCAAGTTTCCAAAAAAGCCACGGAGCCGAGCGGCGCGGGGCTGGCGGCTCCACCGGGCTCCGAGGAGGCGCCGCCGACTGACACCGAGACGGACCAGCCCGCCCGCCCCGGCCAGGCCCGGAGTCACCCCTACCCAACGCCGGCCCCCTTCCCCCGGGCGCCCGGCCCCCAACCCCGACTTACTCCGAGCGCGCCGCCGCGGCCCCCGCCTAGCCATGGATGTCGGGGACCCCCCGACAGCCTCCCCAGGACAGCGCCCCGTCCGCGGCCCCGGGGGAACTTCATGGGGCCCTCGGGATCCCCTCTGGCCGGCCTGGCCTCCAGCGCCCCCCGCCCGGCCGCCGCTCGGGGCCGCCGCCCGCCGCACGCGTCCCTTGCCTCGGCGTCTGCCGCTCCCCCTCCCCCCGCCGCCGGGCGCCTCTTCCCTCCCCCCGCGCCCTCCCTGGGCCTCTCCCGCCCCCGCCCCCCCCTCCCGCGCCGCCTCCGCCACGGGTGTGCGGAGCGGCCGAGCGGAGCCCGCTGCCCCTGCCCCGGGACGTTTCTCTAGAGGCCGCGCCCCGGGTCGCCAGCGGCGGGATGTGAGTGTGGAGGGGACGGAGCCAAGGGAGCTCTGACATCGGGGCCCGGGCACGTAGCCCGGGACGCTGCCGCCGCTCCATTCTCTTCTCCGGGAAGCACAGACGTTATTTTTTCTGATCGGCCTGCGGGGGCCGGTGAATAGGGGCCCTCAGCCGCGAAGCAAGACCTCTTCACGGGAGGTACCCCGCGCGCCCCCGACCGCGGCGCTGTCTGTGCGCCCGCGCTACTCCCGCTCGGGCTGGACCGGGGTCCCTGGGGAGGCTGCTGGGCCGCCAGCCCCGCGCCTGGCTCCGCCGCCACCACCCTCCCGCCCCACCCTCGCCTGGACCCCCAGCCTCGGGAACTCCCGAGTGGGTAGGTCCGCGGTGCTCTAGGCCCGCCCCCGCCCCTGCCCGCGTCTCGGGGCTCACGTCCCTCTCCCACCCTCCCGAGTCTTTCCCCGGGGTCTCTCAGAGTCTTCGACCCTTCCAGACGCCGGCCCGGCCTCTCCAGCTCCGCCCCGGACTCCACCCCGGGCGGCTGCAGGCCGCAAGACCCGGGGCTCAGCCGGGACCCCCACTCCCGAGGCCCGCCTCCTTCTCCACCCCTTCACACCCCCAAACACTCCTGGCGGGCTCTGGTCCACTGGGGACCCTCAACTTGGGGGATGTGCGGGAGGAGTCTTTGGGGGCAGGGGCGGGGGGTGGTGGGGTTACGTGCTCCGGCCCGGGAGGGGACGCTGTAGCGCTAAGAGGAAGGGGTCTCAGACCCCAAAGCCTGCCACCTTTCAGTATCACGCAGAGAAGCTGAGATCCTGGGAAGGCCTGGGATGCCTGGAGCGGAGGGCTTTAAGGATGGTCAGGAGGAAGCTAATGTGACTGTTGGGGCCCTTGGAGATATTATCTGGGCTAAGTGGCAGTCCCTGCTCACCCACTTACCGGTTGTGTATCCTGGGCAGGACGACTTCCTGCTGTCTGGGCCTCAGTTTCCTCATCTGTAAAACGGGGACTTGACCAGCTGATTCAAAGGGCACTTTTAACTTTACTGTTTTAGTGCTGCAGAGGGTGAGTGTCCAGACCCATGGGCTCTGTGGGCTCCCCAGACTCAGCCTGTGGAAATTGAGCCCCAAACCAGCCCCCCCCCCACCATCTCAGGGATGGCCCCTACCGTCCACGTGAATGCATCTGCAAGCCTAGTTCCTAAGGTCACTGCCAGCTCTAGCCAGCTTTCCTGGCAGCCCACCCTTCTCCAGGCCCAAACCCACCCATCTACCATACTGGACCCACAGCTGTCTTCTTCCTTATGAGTCTGCGGCCACACCCTCCTCCGTGCCCCACTACTTTCAAGTTTCTTGTCCTGATGATTAAGGACTGTGCTGTTTGAGGCAGTTTCCTCCAGAGGCGACTCTCCCCAACAGGTACTGTCCACTAGACTCCTGGCCTGCTCCCCATGTTCACGCCCCTGCCCCTGCCTTTGGAGTTTACTCTGCTGGGATCATGACTCTGTGCCTGGTGTAAAGAACATCCCTCCCTCCTTGTGACCCCATCTCCTCCACTACTGGGGGGAAAGCTGTGATTTGGGGGCTACCCCCTATGGTGTGTGGGTTACTTGGGAACAGGGACAGAGGCTCAGGTGCCCAGAGTGGGTACCTAAAGAACATCTGTGGTTCTTCAGTGTTATATTTTGATGGTCTCAGTTCTATGTCTCTGTTTCTAAGCCATTCTACTCTGTTTTATGGTTTTATGACTGATCACCTCTCCCCTATGGTGACAGGAAAAGAACATTCACGGAGGGGTTGGGACAACTGAGGTAAAACTGGGGACTGATGTAGGGAGTCCTCAGATCTGACACCAGAAAGCTTGAGATTGGGAAACAAACAATATTTGTACTGGGGAGGACCAGAGTGGGCTGTGGGTAGGGCTCCGGAGAGGGGTCCCATGGGCTGTGGGCCCCCTAAGGGTGTTCCTCTAGCCATAAGGCCTGTGCCTCACCCCAGAGGGCCCTGTTGGATATTCCACCACTGTTGGGTGAGGCTGATCCCCTAAGGCACCTTCCGGCCTCTGGTTAAAGTGCCACCGTGGGGGTTGGGTGTCACACATTAACTGGTAGCACCCCAGTGCCTGGCAGAGCCAGCCTGCCCTCTTCGTCAGGCAAGTCCCAGGGCCCCAGGGGTCAGTTTCAGGTCAGTTTCAGTGGCGTTTGAAAAGGCCTGGTTGGGGGGAGGGAGTCCGCTATGGGGACTCCCTTCTCTGATGGGGACCTAGGAGGAAGAGCCAAGGAGATCACTGGAGCTCAGAGCTGGAGCAGGGTCTGGACTCTAGCCCAGTGGCCCTAAACTGGACTCTGCTGCTGTGAGTAGGGCTCCAGCCAAGCTATAGAGACCCTAGGGCCAGGGTGGGCACCAGACTCAAAAAACGAAAGACAGAGGCTCAGCTCTAAGCTCTGCAGCCTGGCCTCAGTCCCTCAGAAAACCCCTCGTCCCATTCTGGGGGCTCTCTGGGAAAATTGGCCTGCAAACCCTCAACAGTTCATCCCCCAACCTTAGCCCCAAAGTCGGCTTGAATCCCCATCTCAACCCTAATCCCAGAAAGAGCTTTCCCCGCCATGTGGAGTCCTTATGCCAGTCTGACCTCTAACCCCTGGCTGAACCCTGACCCCAGGCTGAGCCTCCACCAAGCCTCAATCCCAGATCTTTCTCTGGTTCCAGGCCCCTCTGGAAGCTTTTCAAGGCAAGGGGCTGGTAGGGGAGGGGATGGCCAGGCCATAAGTGAACCGAGGTGCCACTTTTACAGCCGTTTCGGCTGCTCATAAACACCCCCCACCCGGATGAGTCACTGGAGGCTCCCACAGCCGCTTTTCGGGCAGCCCCCTCCCCTTGCAGCAGGAAGCCTGGTTTTCTCACCTCTCAGGAAGGCAAAGGGAGGGAAGCTGGGGGTACAGGGGGCCGGGGGCCTCTGTCTGAGGCAGGGAGCACTCCAGGGGCGCCTGGAGGCGTGGGCTTCCTGTCACAGATCCCCTGCTACAGTAATGCCAGAGCCACAGACATCTCCACGCAAGGATGCCTTGTCTGCCCCACAGCATGACACAGGCGCGCGCTCTCTCTCTCTCTCACACACACACACACACACACACACACACACACAATGGGGTACCCCGGCCTTGCCCCTCCCAGCTGCGCTCAGGTCCCAGGGTTGCCTTGGACCCCACTCACCTGGAGCCCACAAGGTCTTCCAAGTAGGGTCTGGACACTCAGTGCAAACTCAGGTTGACCCTGGAGAGGTCATGGATCCTCCTAGCAGCTCCTGTGGCTCAGGCCTAAGCAAGGATGTTGCTGCGAGGGACAGGAAAAGGCTTGAGTGAGAGCTTTCACTTGAAAAGAAAAATTAATTATTTTTTACCAAGCCCCATACCAGCCCAGGACTTTGTCCCAGACCCCTGGTGGGGGAGCAGAGGCAGGTCCAAGGGTACCAGTGTTCGGTGCCCTGAGTGGGCCCCTCCCCCACTGCCATCGGTGTGCCTGCCAGGCACCCAGGCCAGCTTGGCCCCTCCGGTGTGGGTGTGCCTCAGTGGTCCTCTCCTGGCCCCGCCAAGCCTGTCTTGAGCTAACTCTCCTTCTATCTGTTCCTGGGTCCCTGTCTGCCCCTCCTGGCCTTTTCCACATCTCAGAAATTTCATGCCCCCATGAGGTATGAACATAGCCCCTGTGAGTGATTTCATTCAAGTTTGGGGCACCTGAAGAAATCAGGTGGAGGCTGAAGGTAGTTCATACCCAGGTCACAGGCAGAAGAACTGAGACCTGAGAAGCCCTCGACTCTCAGTCCCAGGGACTGAGCGTTCCCCGGGCAGGGGACATGTGAGGACACTCATGCCACCCAGTCTTTGTCCTAACCCTGCAGCCCCATAACCACTCTGTATCTGACTCCTTGCCCACTGGAATGTGGGCTCTTGGCATGAAACCAGCCAGTGACACCCAGGCTCGGGGTCTGCGTGTACAGTTACAGGTCCCAGAGGCAGAGGGTTGTGGACAGGATGACCTGCTTTCCTCTGTTCTGTGGAATGGGCTGGGTCCAGACCCCGAGAGTGAGGACACAGACAGACGGAGGGGAAGAGGCCCTGCCAGGTCCCGGCCCCTCACCCCAGCACCTGGAGACCCTGGCTGGAGGCTGCCCTTCTGCCTGAGCCCAGCCTGAGCTGGTTTGGGTCTGGAAGTCCCAGGCTCAGCCTGACGAGGTGTAATGATTCACGTGGCAGCCGCCCTCAGCACATTCCAGCCGGAGCCCCCAGCACCCGGCACGTGAGGCGGCTGGCCCCAAACCAACCCCCAGCAGCCGGGGCACGTTCCTAGGGCCCCCATCCCTGGGGGCGACCCTTCCCCAGGTCTTCCAGGCTCCTGGGGAGGGTACCATGCTTTACAGTTTCCAAGGTACTTTCTAGTACGTTCACAGGCTGGAAAGGGAGGCGGAGAGCTTGTCCATCCCTGGCCGCCAGGTGGGGCAGATGACGCTGCTGGCTGGGGGGGGGCCTGGAGTGAGGCTATGACAAACAAGCCTTTATGGGGTTCCTGCCCCACTCCCCATGCTGGGCTGCTCCCAGGTGTGCAGCTCCAAGGGGGGGGCCTGGGTGGATAGGCCATTCTGTGACCAGCCCCCGTGGGGAAGCAGATTTCAGCTTGACAGATCAGTGGGCAACAGTGTCCAAGGGGAAGAAGCTTCTCTGCCCTCTGTCAAGCTTGTTACTCCCTGACCCTCCACTGGCGCAACCTCTCCCTCTTCTGAGCCCCCACACGCCCCCTTGCTCTTCCAGCTGTTCCTACCCTCACTGGCCAGGGAAGTGGGAGGCTGGGGCCTGTTCTGCCCTGATCTGCGGGGTCCCCTTCCTGCTCATGATCGTGGTTTCCTGATCTGTCATTAACAGATGGGCAGTTCAAGGTTTGAAGGGGCTCCGTCAAGGGCCCAGGCACTTGGGGCTTGGATGCAGATGTGTGAATCTGAAAACCTGAAGTCCTCTCTCCCCACCACTCCCCCCGAGGGCCCCCAATGCAGGCCCAGCTGTGTTCCTGCAGTGAGCCCCAGCCCAGGGCTCTGAGGGGCGAGTCTGGCCCTCAGCTCCGGGGACAGGAAGTTGTATTTTGGTCCTGGGTCCTGGAGAAGGAGGCAGGGGGAGAATGGCAGCTCAGACCCAGTCGTGTTTACTCGGGCCCGGCCCCCTCTGAGCTCAACAGGCCTATTCATTGGGAGCCCCATAAACCCTTCGGGGCTCCCTGAGGTTCAGAGCGCCTGGACGCCAGGTCTGGCTGCCGCCCCCAGACCTGCTGGGATGGGGGTGGGGTGGGGATGGTCTTAGATGTGCCTCAGTTTCCTGACCTCTCTGTTGTCGGAGTATTGGTTGTTGCCCGTGAATGTTGACGAGCAGCTGAGAAAATCGAGGGGGGCTTCATGGCTGTGTCCCGTCACGCCAGGCTTCTGAGAGCAGGTCCTCAAATCCCACGGCCTTCAAGGCAAGCCTGAGACCCCACACCTGGCCTTGGGGTGGGCATGGGTGCGCCTCCTGCTGCGGTGGAGGGAGTCCCTCGTCCTCTCCAGCACCCAGCATCCAGCTGTCTTCAGGCTTCCAACTTTGCTTAACCAGAGAGGGTCAGGTATCAGGACAGGAGGCAGCCGTGGTGTGTGTTCAGTGGGAAGAACCACGGCGTGGCTGTCTGAAGGCTACTCAGCTCCCGCGTGACCTTGGAACGGTCCCTTCTTCACTCCAGGCTTACCCGCCCCCACCCCACCCCATCCCAGCCCGTGTTGGCCGGGGTTAGTGCGGACATGCTCCCTAAGTCGTTGGAGCCCTAGGGTTCCCATGCTGGGCAGCTGAGTGGGGAGCTGGTGGTGGGGAGGGGCAGGAGCAAGCCCTCCCAGCCCAGATGCTTCTCGACAGCGTCCCCACACGCCTGGGCAACCTGGCCAACCTCTTGGGACCCTGGTGGGGGGGCGAGAACGGAGTCTCCTT